GCGTGTTCCAGTTCCTGCCAATATTCAGCAACTTCGCACAGCTATTGAAGAGGAGTGGACCAACATTCCACAGGCCACAATCAACAACCTGATCAACTCTATGCGACGAAGATGTGTTGCCCTGCGTGAGGCAAATGGTGGCCACACCAGATACTGACTGGTTTTATGCCCCCCCCCATAAAGCGAAACTGTGCACATTTCAGGGTGGCCTTTTATTGTGGGCAGTCTAAGGCACACCTGTGCAATATTGATGCTGTCTAATCAGCACCTTGATATGCCACACCTGTGAGGTGAGATGGATTGTCTTAGCAAAGGAGAAGTGCTCACTAACACAGATTTGTGAAAAATATTTGAGAGAAATGGGACTTTTGTGTATGTAGAAAAATTTTCCGATGTTTGAGTTCAGCTCATGAAAAATGGGAGCAAAAACAAGAGTGTTGCGTTTATATTTTTGTTCAGTGTATTCAGGGTCGTGGGGGCAGCAGTCTCAGCAGGGAAGCCCAGACTTCCCTCTCCCCGGCCACTTCATCCAGCTCCTCTGGGGGAATTCTGAGGCGTTCCCAGGCCAGGCGAGAGACATAGTCCCTCCAGCGTGTCCTGGGTCTTCCCCGGGGCCTTCTCCCAGTGGGACATGCCCGGAACACCTCACCAGGGAGGTGTCCAGGAGGCATCCTAAGCAGATGCCCAATTAAGCCACCTCATCTGGCTCCTCTCAATGCGGAGGAGCAGCGAGTCCCTCCCAAATGACCGAGCTCCTTACCCTATCTCTAAGGGAGAGCCCAGCCACCCTGAGGAGAAAACTCATTTCGGCAGCTTGCACTCATGATCTCGTTCTTTCGGTCACTACCCACGGCTCGTGACCATAGGTGAGGGTAGGAACGTAGATCGACTGGTAAATCGAGAGCTTTGCCTTTTGGCTCAGCTCCTTCTTCACCATGACAGACCGATGCAGCGCCCGCATCACTGCTGACGCCGCACCGATCTGCCTGTTAATCTCCCACTCCATCCTTCCCTCACTCGTGAACAAGACCCTGAGATACTTAAACTCCTCCACTTGGGGAAAGACCTCCTCCCTGACCAAGAGAGAGCACTCCGCCCTTTTCTGGCTGAGGATCATGGTCTCGGATTTGGAGGTACTGATTTTCATTCCAGCCGCTTCACACTCGGCTGCGAACTGCTCCAGTGAGAGCCAAAGGTCATGGTCTGATGAGGCCAACAGAACCACATCATCTGCAAAAAGCAGAGACCTAATCCTGAGGTCACCAAACCGGACACCCTCAATGCCCTGGCAGCGCCTAGAAATTCTGTCCATAAAGGTTATGAACAGAATCGGTGATAAAGGGCAGCCCTGGCGGAGTCCAACCCTCACCGGGAATGAGTCCGACTTACTGACGGCAATGCGGACCAAGCTCTGACACCGGTTGTACAGGGTCTACCAGGTCTGACCAGCTTCCTCCCCCACCAGCGGAGCCAACCCACCACCAGGTAGTGACCGGTTGACAGCTCCGCCCCTCTCCTCACCCGAGTGTTCAAGACATGCAGCAGCATGTCCGATGACACGACCACATAGTCGATCATCAAACTGCAGCCTAGGGTGTCCTGGTGCCAAGTGCACATATGGACACCCTTATGCTTGAATATGGTGTAGGGCTGGGCGATATCAAATCGCGATTAAATCGCGCATGCGCAATAATCACTAGGGCTTTGGATGACAGGCGCAACATTTGGTGGTGCGCCAGCTTTTCTGTGCTATACGGACATTTATTTACGCCCACAAT